ACCATTTATTGTAGAAATTATCAGAAATGAATTGATTGATTCAGAGTAATTAATTCATGGATCGGACTGATCTGGTTCAGCTGACTCCAGTTGCACTGGATCAGAAGATTAACAATGAATAATGACTTACATTTTGGTTTGATCTAACAAGCTATTGTATGACTTCAGAAGACTTAAAACTTTAATGATAACTTTACAATCGTTTGGAAGCTTGAAAGCCTCATTCACAATTTTTTTTGTAAAGCATGGTAAAAAAAGGCAACCAAAACTAGAATATGTATCAAAATAGCTAATTTTGTGTTTCACAGAAGAAAGTAAGTCAAACAGGTTTGGAAAGACATGAGTCTAAATACTGACAGTATTTTCAGTTTTAGATGAACTATTCCTATAATTAAAAGAAAGGATTGTATAACAGTAATGTTTATGACATATTTTGGTGAGATTCGTCTTCTAAGGAACTCATTTGAGAAGCGAGTAAGAAAGGAAAGACAGCATGCATTGGAGCGTTCAAGTTGTTATTAGGTTTTCAAACCTGGGGTTTATGTTGTCAAGATAACGTAATGCATAATTTACACCAGGCTTATCGGCCACACTTAAGAATGAGCAATGCATTATGGGTACCTCTTAACCTCTGACATTAAGCTCACAGCTGATGCTTCCCGCCAATGGGCCGGATCTAAAAATGAAAATCTCTTGGGAGGAGTGTTTCTCTGTCAAAGCAGGTGATGCACCCAGGAGAGTGTCAGGAGCAGTGAAGAGAGACGGAAAGAAGCCCCCTTCTCTTCTTGTCACTCAGCGTTAGACGTGGGTGACACTGTGAAAGGTTTACGCTCTTACGCTGAGATGTGTGAGTATGTGTGTGTGCAAAACAGGGGACACCTGTCACTATGTGGAGGGGCTAGAAAATGCCTCAAAATCTGGGCGTTGGAGGTTGAGAGTGCACCAGTCGTAATAGGCCATCAGGTCTTGATATGTGCACCTGGGTCCTGTCGCAGGAGCTCCGGTCCACAGCTGGAGGAGACAATGGTGTCATTACACCGCCCAAATCCATCACACCACCAGATAACTCATAATAAGACTCATATGTCTCAGAAAGAATGCATATGTTTTTTACTAAGTGCATTTGACGACGAATGCATGCGGAAAACCCCTGAACACCTGCTGGCAGATATGTCAGAAATCTGGGCAGAAAAGCAAAGATAACCCACCCACGCTGAGAAAGATTAGTGTGCGGTGGATGGCTTCCACCATGCCAAGCACCTTTTGATGTATATGTTTGCATTGCAAAGTGCTATGCATTTCCACCAGGATGCTCTTGCACATGCAAAATAATAAGCATCTTTTTTTCTGAGCTGTCTCGCGCTAGAGTTTGGGATGTTTTCAGTCTCTTGTTTGGACAAATCTGACAAAGCCTTTGAGTTTAAGAACAGCAGTAACTCACTGCTTATCAAACCGAATGTGAATTTTTAAAGACGAGTTTCCATTAAAGAAATGCCAAAGGGGATGGGATCTGTCCCAGCCCAGTGAAAACATTAGTCACATCTCTTCTTGTTTTAGGGGGGTCTGGGAATCACATCTATCACGGTTACCCGTGGAGAAATACATGCACTGAAATGAATGAGAATGAATGAGAGTTTTATGTGCTTGATAGTGGTGTTGCACATAGAATGCTGTGTAAGGGGGCGTTTCATATGGAGGATGTGTTCGTTTAGTGCTATTTTTCACTCAAGATGTGTTCCTGTCTTCCTTCTGTGCATGTTTTTAATTGTGTGTTTATATCAGAGCCAGAAATTCAGAAAATGCCACAGAAGTGTTCATATATCTGTAAGGGGCAAAAACAATGATTCATTCAGGAATGAAACAATTGTGATGGTCTTTATGAATCATTAGTCACTGAGTCATTAGTTTAAACGATTCTTTCCAATAACTTATTCATTCAGAAACGACGCTGTGTCTGAATATGCCTACTTCTATACTATATTGACCTTATGTAGCCCCACCCCTTTTTAGCACCACATTTGTTGTCTTCTGTCTTCCGGTTGTATTTCCACAGTGATCTCACGAATTTATGAATGAACCGCTCATTTTAAAACCTCACTGGTCTACTGACATTTGTTACGACATTTGCTTTAAACATTACAGTGCTCACGATAACGTTCGTAAACTCTACAATACATAAATCCACTTTACCAGCTAAATTACTCTTAGACAGCGATGCCATAGAAATATACAGAGCTACTGCACAAACGGAAGTTCAAAGGAATGCTAAAAAACAGTAGCCGATGTATGTTTGAATTCGATGCACACTTTACTATGAAACCACGGGAGAGGATTTGTGAATGGCAGTGAAGTGACGCAACTGACGTTGATAGGTCACATGACAGTGACAATGTGGCTTATAAAGCACGTCCGAACTGTGACGTCACTTTGTATGCATGGTGTTTACATGGAATAATCATACGAGTTTACCTTATGGTATGAACCCAGAGCCTCCGTATCAGTAGGAAAGCGATAAAACAAGCATCTTCCATCCGAACACTTGTGTTGCATTTTGGGGCAAAGCAAAAAAAACATTGTCGAACAACAATATAAAATGCGGGAAACTATTAATTGGTTATTCTACAATTAATTGTACTATTAATTATACTACAATTGGAAAGTACTGTAAATTGATAAACTGTTCGGCGTGATGACGTTTAATGTCTCCGACAGCACCTGTAGTGCCATTTAGCAACTTGTTAGCAAACGTCTTTTTAAAGAAACGTAACCGTTTTAAAAAATCACGAGTGGGGTGTAACCATGTAGTCCCATTTAGCAACTTGTTAGCAACCGTCTTTTTTAAGAAACGTAACAGTTTTAAAAAATCACGAGTGGGGTGTAAGTGGTGTGTTTTATGTTGCAGAATAAAACGTGAAAGTATCTTGAGCTTGTGTGAACCACGGACCTTATTTTAGGGGATTTAACCAAAATCCCCAGAATTGACTCTGGGACGATGAAACCGGAAGTGCTAAAATGCTAACTCGCTTCCGGGTTTTTGCCTACAAAGTGACATCATAGTTCCACCACTCTATTCAGTTATGAAATAAATTTCAAACTAAATATAGTACATGCTAGACAGTGTGCGATTTCGGACACAGCTTGAAAGTTTTATGGGTGGGTCACTGATTCATTAACTCAAGTGATTCAATACTAATTTGTTCAGGAACGCTACTGCTGCAACAAAAGGTTTAAGTTGCAAGTTGCTCAGTGTTAACTCCTTGTTTATTGAACTGCTGTAGGCCTATACGCTGAAAAACATTGGTGGTGAAACAATTTTTTACTCAGAAATTACTATTAATTTCTCAGATAATTACATTAAAGGAGACATATTATGTCCCTTTTTACAATATGTAATATAAGTCTCTGGTGTCCCCAGAATGTGTCTGTGAAGTTTCAGCTCAAAATACTCCACAGATCATTTATTATAACATTTTGAAAATGCCTATTTTGAGTGTAAGCAGAAATACGCTGTTTTTCGGGCCTGTTTCTTTAAATGCAAATGAGCTGCTGCTCCCCGCCCCCTTTTCCAGAATAGAGCTGCGACCTGCTAAAAACATCTGTTTTGGTTCTGATTATCATGTTTATTGCGCTGAAATCATGCTGAGCGCACACATCTGAAGCACACGCACAGAAAGCGGCTGTCACAGCATGTGAGCACTAAACTAAGTTCTCATTCACACACAAGTTTACGTTAAAAACACGCATGAGTTACAAAAACAGTCTGTTATGTCTGTGAAGGTAAACTGCTGGGAAATAAATCACATGTTTATTTTAGATCTGTGTGGCAGCAGCAATATACAGTAAATAAATCAATAAATCCACTGCTGTCTTGTGTCGTCTGAGGCTGGGACTCTAAACAGTGTTCTGTGCTCGTCTGTGCAGCCAAAGACAGAACAGGTAGAATGTTTTGCTCAAACTTCTCCATGGCTTTGGAGCTGGTACACCGTTGTCGCTTGCAAAATCAAAATGAT